AAATTGAAGATTCACACTGAAGGCACCAAAACTGAATTTACACATGTGGAATTACATACTTAACAAAATAGTGTGAAACAACTGAGAATATGTCGTACCTGCTCCATAGACCCACTTAGAGGTTTAGCCTCACTGGAAGTTATGCTTTTGGCATTTTATCCAATCAGGGGATCTACTTGCTCACTGCTTACTTCAATAGGCGGAGGCTATTGGCTACAGGTTTTTTTCAGGCAGCGTCCTGCTGCTCCAAAGCAAAGGGGAGATTGTGTCTGAGAGCAGAATAAACAGCTGATTAATGCGCAACATACTCATGAAATCACATGCATTTTAGCACATATTTAATGCAGTTTAATGACTACATTTATGAAGTTTGACCATGCATGCATTTTTTACTATTAATTTTACAATATGTATAGGGGAGGTTTAGTCTCCTTGTATTCAATGAGAAATTGCCACTGTCGACTGTTGGAGGAGTACCCAGGGGCAATTCGCGGATACACAGGTAGATCATGCAGAGAGAAAAAACAGGTGGGAATTCCAGCCAGAGACCTTCCTTCTGTAAGGAAACAGGCGCACCAAATGCGCCACACTGCAACCAAGCCTTACTTTAAATTTACATTTCAGGTTCTGCATAAAGTCATTGTAAAGCAGAAACAAGTCAAATTAAGTAGCAATCATTAAAAACTCCCCAGTGTTAACACAATTTGATATTACATTGGGTAAATTTATGATGACTCTGTTCTCATGAATTACACCCTTAATTAAAACAGTTCATATTTTAAATTACAAAATCCAGCAGTGAATATTTATTTTAGTTCCGTGTTCAGGGTTTTCTGACATAATTGTAAATGTTCCAGGTGGGTCCAGGAGTGGTATTTCTGAGGTTCAACCACAGTTTCCTGGGCCAGGGGATAATGATGCACTGTGTGACGCCTGTGGAGCCTTTGTTGCAGTGTGTAACTCACACCATGTTCTATCAGTCCAACATCCCAGCCGTGGTGCCCAAGTTCATCCTCAAAGGAGAATCCATTCAGGTATCTCCTCCCTTTCTCTCTTCTCTTGCATCTTTTGTCCCTTTTTATTTAGTGATCATCTGTACTTCCATTTTATCATTCCCTCAAAGTATTTTTATTCTTGCAAACTCTGGTTTTACACAGACATTTTAGTCTAATTTTATTTTAAATTATTTTTGATAATCCGCAGTTTGTATTGCAATTCAATAAAACTGAAATCTGTTGTGAATAAAGGACATATGATTTATTGTGTTTCAAAAATAAATGCTAAAATAAAAAAATGTTTAAATAAAAAAATAATAAAAAAAATAAAATAACAATGAAAGAAATAAGTAGATAAATAAAATAATAAATAAATAAATAAAATATATGCTGCATTTTTCTGAAGAATTTTGAACTTACTATTTTATTTTTTAAATGCAAGACTTATCATACTGGTTGCAAGTTTATAAATGCATATATAAATGTTTGTAAAATTTAAGTAGTAATTTAGCACGTTTATTATGTCCTACACTAAATGCACTGTAACTATTTTGTTTCTTCTTGTTAATGTTTTACTGATTTAAATAGTGAAGGTTTTCCATATCAGTTGTGACAGAAAATATCTATTTTGGAGAAATTATTATCCAGTTTGCCTTTGCTTATGTTCTCATTTTTATTAGATTTATTCTCTAACCAAACCACAGCATAATTGCACCATATTGAACTTCATTATTTATGCGTTTTTTGTTTTTATTTTTTTGCACCATCACCGCTGCACTTTAAGAAATGGAAATGTCATGAAAGCTGTACAAAACGAAATTTCATTTGTATACAGTCTGTATACAAAACGACAATAAAGGTTGTCTAATTCTAATAATATGTATTGTGTTATTTAGGCTTAGTTATTTGTGGTTTGAATAAGCAAACATCTTATTTTTGAAATAACTCTCTCCTCTTTAGCAAGTATTTAATATTTCATCTATCTGAAGGGATCATCTATTTTATTTTAGCTCTGTTATTTTACATTATTTATCAGTCTTTACTTTATAGTAGAAGTAAGGTTTCCACTTATTAGAAAAAAGTCTTCAGTTCCTGTCATCATCCACTCCATTTTTATATTCAATTAAATTGAAATTTAAATGTTTGATCTGCTTCTTCATAGCAGCATGTCTGTACTTCAAACCGACTCTAATTTGAAGAGATCACTGAGTGCAAGTATCACCCACTCGTTCCTTGGTGTTTGCTCTCTCTCCTCACACCAAACAGTCACAGATAAAGTGTAAATACTTCCTCATTAAACCTGATAATTAGCTTGGTGGAGAAGAAACACTGGCAGCTGCCTGAACAAGGCAGAAATCCTTTTACTGGCTTAAAAATCAAAGGAAACATCTTGAACATTTCAGGCAAAGGTCAGTTTACAAGCTGCAGTTAATATTCATGAACAAATAATTTGATCAAAAAGAAACATATTAAGTTGTTGATTGAGTTTTACTACCAAAGATCCTTTTTTTCTTCATGAGACACTTATTAAAACAATTTGACAGATACTTGAAAGTAAAATGCCAGATCTCAGCAGCTGCTAAAGTTGCTGTGGAGTGACATTTAACATCACTTCCCACAGCAAGCCTCCTGCTGGTGAGTCATGATAATTTAATGCAAGGAGACAGCATAACAAACATGATATTAAGAATAAACTCCTGCTCCAACACATGATAAAAAAGCATCAAATCCCATTTCACCCAAAGCAATAGATGGCATTTGTTCATTTGAATCAGTGCTTAAAAGTCGGCTATGTTTCTTTGTGTGCACAGTTTGAGCGTGATGTGATGATCTGGAACAACAAGAAGTACATCGCTAAGCCTCTCCTTGTGAAGGAGGATTCTGCTGTTCGGAGGCACCGCCGCTGGTATAACCAGTTCTATAGCGAGAACAGCCCACGGTTGAAGTACCAGAAAGATACTTTGGACTTCTGAGCGGACCACTGGAGGTCCTTCGTCCTTCCGGGTTGAAGAAACCTTCAAGAGGGGGGAGATGCTGGAATCTGTCAATCATTTCAAGTTAAAAAAAAGATGCTCTTATTGTTTCAGCTAATTGGATAAAAATATCTGTCCACAATCTTAAAAACAAATAAATTTAGCTGTCTTTATAAAGTGAATTTAACCCTTTAATGTAAATTTTTACTACCTTCCACTAACAATAATCATTACGTATTCTTATACCTTTTTGTAGCTCATGAATATAATAAATGATTTGTCCAAAAAGTATGAATATAGTGTATGCATTTATTATGAGGTGATTTGAACTTCTGGGATTGTTTTGAAAGGCTGAATGTATAAAAGTATTTTGTTCCCATTATGCTTGACTTCTCTTTTTGCCATACTTTCATGTTTCATCATTTAACATAGTTTAAAAACCAGAGACATATGATATGAATAAATATCAAAAAGCAGTTTTGTTTCTTATTTTTTATTTTCTTTTTTAAATTTTCATAGCTTTATATAAACATCAACAGAAGCAAACAAAAACAACCCACCCCAAATCAACAAGGAGCACTACAGTGTTCACATAAAAGAAAAACAAAAAAAACATACATACATACAGCCCACATACACAAAATACAGGCAGATATGGTTCAAAGTAGTCCAAACTGTCGGACAGCCAAGTGTATGATATATTGAATATAAAAAAGAAAAAGAAAGAAAAGAGAGAAAACCTAATTTACTGTCTCTGTAAGAAAGATTGCACCGGGTCCCAGATCCTCCGGAATTTGTCCGACTTTTGATGAAGGTCATGTGTCAGTTTTTCAACTGAGACAATAGCAGACATTTGTGATGACCACATATCAACTGTAGGGGCCTGTGATGCTGACCACCTCAGTAATATACATTTCTTGGCCAGAAATAAGAGAATTACAAGCAAATGTTTAGTATCTGCATTAAGGAGAGTCGCTGAAGTATGATTAAAAAGACAAAAGGAGGGAGTTAGTGAGAACCGTTTACCAATGATCTCTTGTATCATCAGATGAACTGCCTTCCAGAAGATTTGGATTTAATCGCAAGACCAAAATAAATGAATAAATGTGCCCTTATGTATTCTGCATTTTTGACAGAGATCTGCAGCACCAGGAAACATTTTCCGAAGGCTAACAGGTGTGCAGTTTTCAAATGACTGCCTGTATTGAAAGAAAAAAAAAAATCTGTTTAGATTAATTAATTGCTTCCATAATATAGAATCAAGTCACCAATTAAAAGTACCTGTATGACAACACAAAAGGTTCATCAAAATAAGTGGTCCTCCTAATTGTCAATAATTCTGGTGATATGTTTACATAAGGTCGCCTCATGTGATCGTACCAAATTTCATTTACCGGTGGTGAGTCTGAAATAGAGGAAAATAGCAAATCTTCTTTTGGAAAGTAGGAATGTATGAGCGATGCAAACAGTAACTTTTAAGCAGAGCGTGCACAAGTAGAAATTAGCTTGTGCATGGCACGCACTCATTTAATAGGCGTTCCGTCTCTGGAGCGGGTACATTGTGGTGCATGTGCATTTTTTTTTAAGGTGGAGAGGGCGGGTCTTTTCAAAAATTTGTGAAAATGTTCCACTATGCCTTTAAGTAAACCACAGAGAGATCCATTCTACACAAATTTTTAGAAGACAGAAAAGCAGGAGGAGGTCAATTTGAAGAGACTCCTTTAGGAGGTCTCAGAAGAGCCCAGAAAAACATCTTATGTTCTGTTCGCCTCACTTGCCTCAGATAGTGTTAGGGTCTTCAAAATTTAGAAAAGAGTGAGCACAGGTCCAATAGACTTCCAAAGCTGAAACCACTGTTGACAACCATGACAACAAAGGACCATTTCCCATTTTGGGAACTGTCATAAGAAACTGGGAAAATGTTTAGAAAGAAAAAAAAAAGTTTAGAAGGCCGGCATCCAGTTATATTTGACGTAGCAAGAAATTCATGGCAAGAGTCAAACATGGTGGTGGCAGTGTGATGGAGTGTGATTGCAGGCTATTACTGGTCAAATGTGTCATCAACCCTATTCAAGCCCAAACAGATGAAAGATGGGGGTGGGATTCCCAGAGGCAGATGCCGGATTGCTTTGCTCAAATGATTGGTAATCAGGCCTGTCGCTACCTGATCCATCCCGGAAGCACGATCCGTCCTGCACATGCGCGAACAGATATAGATCTGTGTGTCCATAAATAATGTAATTATGGTACTAAAATTACTTATTTCTATCTTTAACTCTCTAGAGAATGTTACTACACATCTTTAAAAAAAATGTTTTATGACTTTCGTGAGAGAATTTTGATGCTTTTTTTTTTTTTACTGCTTCTCTGACGTTGTCATCGGACATGCTCAGAGCAGTTCGGCAAAATACGATTAAACTATGTTTATCTGCATTTTAGTTGTTTCTTTCTTTAGATTACGCACTATATACCATAATAATAACACGAAAGGAAAACATAAAAGTAAAAAAATAAAAATGATTTGTGTTTAAATCCAAAGCTGTAAAAGTTTTGCCTCGTGAGACCATTCTGATCTCGCGAGCTTTCAAGGTTTCACTCGCTAATCAGTCTAGAGACTCTCCGTTAAAGAAAATTTGGAGCTGTTCACCAAAGGAACGTCCAATCAGTGTTGGCTTTGCGGCGGGTTGAGGTGTGATAGTTCAGTCTAAAGAACATGGCGGCTTCAGCCGATGAAACTAGCGTTAGCCTGGCTATCGAGCAAGTTTTATCGGAATTACAGAGTATTTCTTCACTGAAAGAAGAGCAAAACACTGCTCTGGAGGCTTTTCTCAGAGGAAAAGATGTTTTTGCTCTTCTCCCGACTGGTTTCGGCAAGAGTAGCCTGGCTTGTGGTTGTGTTTTCGTCGTCGCTCTGTTAGTACGTCATATGCTTCATTGATCTGATTGGTTTATTTTGGCCCGTCTATCACCAACATAGGCCAATCAGCTAACCAGTATTTTCGCCCCTTCCCAAAATTACTTCAACGGAAGGTTTCCAGATGGATATGCGAAGCAAATCCATCTGGTGGAGTCAGGTTAGTAAAAGTTAGTTCCCGGAAGGAGCGTAGGATCCTGTTTGCGGTACAGATCGGGCAGAGACGAGTGATAAAACAGCAAAGATTCTAAAGCAATTCTTTTCTCAGGAAAGACATTGTTAACCTTTAACACATTATATTTTAGTCGATTACTATTTTTGGGGAGGGAAAAATGTAATTTAGGTATTTTTAACAAAATAAAATTGAGGGTGACCTGGATGTATATCTGGAAGCGCATGCACAAATGAGCTGATGGGGCATGTGCAGAACATGTCGTGCTTCCAGGATGGATCTCGTAGTGACCAGGCCCAGTACGTCTTAGTTCCTGCAATTATCTGTCTTCACATGCTTACTTCTGTTTTGCAACCTATTTAGGAAAACAATTCTCCAACTATCTCCCTGGATTCCTGTGCGCTGCCTCTGCGCTCTCAGAATCTGTTGGAGAACTGACCCCAACACTCATCATTCACACAAAAAGCCACTGAGATACTACTGTATATGTTAGCCAGCACCACCCTGTCTATGCACTTATCTCCTCTGATGTTTCTAAATATTAAACTGCATTTGTGTAGCTGACTGATCCACAGCTGTAATGTTTATTTAAATACACAGATTAAACCTTCTGTGCCTTCATATGATTGCTCATGCATTTCTTAGCTGGCAGAGGCTTTCTGTTGAATATGTTAGAGCGTTAAATCGAGCAGAATGGTGGGGAGGGGTAGTTGCAACACTTAGTCTGCAGCACTTTTTTTGAGGCTTGTGTTATTGCTTTGTCCTCGCAGCCTGTAAAAGTACTTTTCCTGTCTTGGTTTGTGAGAGAATGGTGTTACTTTGTTACACTGAAGCGCTGCATCAATTATTGACCTTGAGTTTCGTATAGGAAAACAGAGTTTTAATAATTCGTTGCAAACAGATCCAGATATTTAAAGACAAAAAAAAAAACTGCCATGTATGGAAGAGACTTTTTTTAAATTGTTGAATTACAGTTGATATAAAATCGATGCAGCCTAGGAGTACAGCATCCTTCTATAAGCACAGGAACGTCGGTGTTGAGCATCACAAAGTAGATTCAAACAACAACAGATGGGGCCAATCAGCAGACATCTGCTCCACAGGAGTTGAGTTTTGCCAGCGATCTGTTTGGCTGCAGTGGAAGTGTCAGGAGTCTGTGATGGTCCCATCTGCAGCAAACTGCACCTGATTTAACTTAAACAACATGCCGCACCACTGTTCTTCCGGGCCAACTGGACCAGCCGAGCTCGGTCCGCCTCGTCCCAAGAGACATTCTCATTCAAAAATAGCTTCCCAAATAAAGAGAGAAATCCTACTGCAATGACTCCTGCCTACATTTTTAAAAAGGCTTATATTGCAGATCTACATTGAGGGAAATGGGAATCATCTTTTAATACATGTGAGCATTATTTACAAATGTCACAAGGTCAAGGAAAGAAAGCTGGAGAAATCTGAGGTGGCATCAAAATATGAGGTACTGGAATTAAACAAGACTAAGCTTTTATTTTCTTATATCAGGAAGGATTGGAAAAATCTATTTTAAAGAAGTGACAGGAAGGAAGTGAGGACTGGATCCATAGAGAGAAAAAAATTCAGTTTTTCAAGGATCTCATTCTGAGCATCAACTTACTTTTTACATAACTGCTGCCGCTCTGTTGTAGTTCTAGAAATTCAACCACATGAGGTTTGCCTAAACCCTACTGCTGGGATGGACTTTATACTGTTGAGGTGGTTTCTATGTTCTGCTTCATAAGCACTTTGATTTATTCATGTGTTTGCCTGTTTTCATCTGAGTTTTTTTTTATGTTTACAAGGTTTTCCATGCATTTTCATGCCCTTCTCCCTCAGTACCGCTCTATATTTCTCCCCACAGCTGCAGCAGATCCTGTTGATTACACTCACCTGTTCCTCGCTCCAAGAATCGCTGCCTCAGTGTTTAAGCTTAATGTTTTTAACCAGTCCTTCCTGACTTGTCTGCTGTTATTCCTCCATCTGATCTGTTTTGTAACTCTGTTTCTTATTTAATCAAACAGCTCTAGGATTCTGCCTACCTTCTCCTTGCATTGTTGCACACATCTAGGTCATACAGGTTTATGTCAGCATTTCTTAGGTCAGGCATCCCCAAACTCGGTCCTCAAGGCCCCCTGTCCTGCAGGTTTTGGAGGTTCCCTTGCTCCAGCACAGCTGATTTT